CAGCAGGTGGGTGGAGCTGCTGTTTCTGAAATAACTCTATTAGGCGTTGTTGGGTTTCACATACATTGACTTGATTATTTGAAACTGTTAAATATAAGCATCCACCAGTAAAAGAGAAAGAATAGACTGTAACAGGAAGAACAGTGCTGCTTCCTATTGGGAATGCTGGCATATCAGTCCAGCTAACTCGGCAGCTGCCTGTACTGAAGGAATGACTGTGAGCGCATTTCTACAAACAACCGATATTTGTCACATACACAATTATGCAGAGTACAACATGTAGTGAAATTCGGGTGTGTCTGAAGAAGTTGGACTTCAGACATAGCCGTGCCAGGGCTTGGTTTTAGCATGTTAGCCAGGACCCTTGCTGGATACCTGGTGGGAATCAGACTTGTGACTATCGGTGCAAAAGTGCATAGTTTTACCACTACACTATTCAGCTGCCTAACATTCCCAAGCTTTTCTCGCACATGAAGTTGATGATCTTTTTTGATTTGTGAAAATAAACCTCACAAATAATATTACAGAGAAGAATTTGCCTGAAATCTGATTTTCATACAATTGAAAAGAAATTGAAACCTTTATACTCAAATGATGTATGTGTGTGTAATTGTATTTTAAATTCTAATTACATTTACACAGTTTAAATCTAATCAAATAAGACAAAAAAGTACTAATAAACCCAGTGTTACATAGGTCGTGCATTTACTAAGCAGTTACCCTTGGCACACTGATACATGTGACCAATATCATTAACATTACATCAGCGTTTTTAATCTCCTTGCTCTTCCTCTGTTATTGTGGGAAAGGTTACACAAAAGTGCTGCGCATGCGCAGATGTAACAGTTTCACACAAACGTCATAAAAAAAAGAGGATCGGATAACAAGACTTTTATGTCAAAAGTCAGTCACGGACCAACTAAATCACGTAGCAGCCGTGGAAGGTGAAAAATAACTATTATGGGGATAACGAAGAACTTTAGATTCTAACAGCTTTATAACCGTGAAGAAATATTAAAATGATTCAAAACGAAAGCTAATTTACAGAGCAAGGAGAGCGGCTCGTTTCACACTCACGGCACAAATAACACCGATAACCACACCTTTGTGTTCAAGTTTACCTTCTATAACCCAACATGATGAAAAACGATCAGAAATGCGTTTAATAAGAACAATAGCAAAACAAAACAAAGAAGAAAAAACGAAATAAAGAAATTAGACATTTTAGCTTAGTTTTATTTTGCTTGATTTTCTGGAGAAGAGCCATATTTTGCAGGCAGTGGTGTTCAGTGTGAAGGCTAAAGTGTCTTTTCTTCTCACTCAGTTGTTGCGCAAACACAGTAAGAATGCGAAGAAAAAAAGTTTAAAAGCTTCTGACCCGCCTCTG